TGCGACGATCCCGTGAGCACAGCCAGCTCTTTTTTCTTCCTGGAGAAAAACACTAGGTGGACACGAGGCCTCATCACTATACCTTTTATTTTATTATTATTTTGTATACATTTTTTCCATTAATATTTATATAAACTGTATATTGACTTATTTTTTTAGTTTTAGTTTGTTTTCTCTTTACTTCCCACTCAGCTCCTCTCTTCGATGCATCACACTGCCACACACACATTCACACATTTTATAATACACTACCTCAACATAAAAGTTACAGCTTGACTTTCACCATATCTCATTTAAATGTATTTGCCCGTATTGTTGTGTTGTATCTTTGCTAATGTGGTTTAAAGAGTTTTGGACAGCGATGTAGTGGAACTAATAACAAGGAGATTGACTTAGAGATTTCACTTCAAGCTGCAGGAAGAGAAACGAGACTGTTTTCTGTGTTCCTGCTCTGAAGAAGCTCCGCCCCCTCACCTGTCTCACCTGAGACAAACCAGGAAACAGGCTGTTATTCTGCCTCACTCTGAAGAGACACACACGCTGACAGACGGACCGACCTGCAGACACAAACCAGCACGACTTCCACTGAGAGAGGACAGGAGGAGGAGGGGATACTGGGAGTACTTGTTATACTGGAATACTGGGAATACCAACACTTCAACCTGCTGCTGAATCCACAAACTGAACGTGAGTTTCAAAGAAAAACAATCAAAGTGAAAGTAACTCTGAGGGACGGGGAGTGAAATCCTGTTTTTTCTGCTTGACTCTGAGATAAAATGGCGTCCAAGTTAGAGGAAAATCTGAGCTGTCCGATCTGCCTCGACATCTTTAAAGATCCAGTGATCCTCTCCTGCCTCCACAGCTTCTGTAAAGACTGTCTGCAGAACTGCTGGAAGGAGAAGGAGAACAAGGAGTGTCCACTCTGTAAGAGGAGACATTCAAAGGATTCTACCTAACTTTGCTTTAAAGAACCTGTGTGAGAGTTTTGTGCAGGAGAGAGATCAGAGAGCTTCAGAGGATCTCTGCAGTCTGCACTCTGAGAAACTCAAACTCTTCTGTCTGGACCATCAGGAGCCGGTGTGTCTCGTCTGCAGAGATTCAGAAAAACACTCTGAGCACAGATTCAGACCCATCGATGAAGCTGCTGGACAACACAAGAAGAAACTTCAGGAAACTCTGGAGCCGGTAAAGAAGAAGTTAAATGTTTTTAAAGAAGTTAAAGTGAAGTTTGATCAAACAGCAGAACACATTCAGGTCCAGGCCCGACACACAGAGAGGCAGATTAAGGAGCAGTTTAAGAAGCTTCACCAGTTTCTAGAAGAGGAAGAGGAGGCCAGGCTGTGTGCACTGAGGGAGGAAGAGGAGCAGAAGAGTCAGAGGATGAAGGAGGAGATGGAGGCTCTGAGCAGAGAGATAGCAGCTCTTTCACACACAGTCAGAGACACAGAGGACGAGCTGAGAGCTGAAGACGTCTCATTCCTGAAAAACTACAAGGCTGCAGTGGAAAGAGTCCAGCAGCGCCCCCTGCTGGAGGATCCACAGCTGCCCTCAGGAGCTCTGATAGACCAGGCCAAACACCTGGGCAACCTGAGCTTCAACATCTGGAACAAGATGAAGGACATGGTCTCCTACAGTCCGGTCATTCTGGACTCAAACACTGCTAATCCACCTCATCCTGTCTGAAGATCTGACCTGTGTGAACGAGGAGAGAGACAGCAGCTTCCTGATAATCCAGAGAGGTTTGATTATTCTTCTGTCCTGGGCTCTGAGGGCTTTAACTCAGGGACTCACAGCTGGGACGTCCAGGTTGGAGACAGTACATACTGGTACTGGGTGTGTTAGCAGAGTCTGTAAGAGGAAGGGAAACAGTCTGGATTTTGGAGAATAGGGTTCTATGATGGTAAATACACAGCACACTCCTCATCACATCCAGTCACTGATCTCTCAGTGAAGAAGAAGCCTCAGAGGATCAGAGTGAATCTGGACTGTAACAGAGGAGAGCTGTCGTTCTCTGATCCTGATACTAACACACACATACACACCTTCACACACACTTTCACTGAGAGGATGTTTCCATACATTAACACTGGTGATAAACTAAAGATTTTACCAGAGAAGATCTCTGTGACTGTGGAACACTAATACATGATGATGATGATGTTCTGAATCTTCATCTCTGATTCTCTTAGGGTTGTGTGACTGCGTTGTCATGGTGATGTGATGTTGTTTTTTAATCATTCGTTATAACTTTGAGTATTTCCACAGCAGGTAAAATCTTGATCCTGATTGGTTGGTTTGTTGGAGTCTATTTAAAGATAATCTGCTCAGCGTGTTAACTGGTTAACTGTCATCTGTTGCTTCAGCTGCTGTGAACGTTTGATTTCTGACTTTTTCACTTGAACTCTAAGGAGTCCCTGAAGGCATCATCTGTATCTTTGTGTGCATTATGAGTTATTATCCTGCATGGAGAAAATAAAACAGTAATGATTATTATCTGATCTGAAATCACTCTACAGTTGTAGAATAATAACTTCAGATCATCACGTTTTCCTCTTCTTACTAAATCGTAGTTCCATCTTTAATCTTGTTGGTGTAGTCAGGGCTGTAACCAGGTTTAGAAAATAGTGAGGTCCAGAATTCTTTCTGTTAATATATCGTATTCAAGGCATTTTGGGACATGCAAGATTCATGGCCAAATGATACCTTCAAATTCAACAGAAGCTAAACACCCAACCAACACAAACTCACACACACATTCACTTCCTGTATGTAAAGTGAATGATCTGTAGATCACGTGCAGCCCGAACCACGGGTGGTTATCCAAACAGAGCATCCATGACATTCAAAAGTAAACATTTTAAGCAGCTTTCATTTCTTTTCCTGCATTCTGGTCAGTTTTTATTCACCATTTTTTGTTTTGTTTCTGCAGAACTTTATGATTCTTATCTCGTCTTTTTGTCCTTTTTGTGTCTTATGCACAATAATGAATGCATTCATTGAATATTTTATAAACATGTGGACTGGACAGTTGACTCTGCACTATTCCAGCCCTGCAAAGTTTCTGTTTACAAGTAGCCAATATGTAAAAGTGATATATAATTTAGTACGGCATTATTTTGTTTATGAACTTGTAAGAATGGCAAACTGTGAACTTTTAAACATGATCCAGATTGTGATTAATTTTCTGTGACAAATGGTCATACAGTGATCTTATCTTTGATGTTTGTTTGGTTTATTGTTGTTCTTGTTTTAAGAGGGGTTAGGACAGTTTGATGACTATAGCACAAGAGAGAGAGAGAGAGAGAGAGAGAGAGAGAGAGAGAGAGAGAGAGAGCAGTTTTTTATTTTTCCTTACTTATTCTTCGGGGGCTCCAAATAACTCAACATTACTCCTGTTTTTAAAAGTTTGAGTCATTCTGGAGCTTCATTCTACAAAGGTATGGCTCCGTAGATTTGTTATCATGTTTGAAATGTCAAATATCAGACCTGAAGACTGTCTTTGTCAAAGCTTTTGTTCATGTTTCTTTACCATCTTCATCTTCAGTGGATGAAACGTCCTCTGAAGAATCCAAACTAAGAACGCTTTATGTTCTTTGAAAACAACAAAGAGTTCAAAATAAAGAGTCAAAATATCTTGTTAGTGTGAATCCTCTGTCACCTGTAATCACTCATCAATAAAGTATTTCTACACTTGATCTGAATCCGTCTTTATAACTCGTGTTGTGTGTTTTATTGATGCTTGTAAATGTCATCATGGACGACTCTTTCTCCTGACAGAATGAGTTTGTCTCTGTGATTAATAATAAAGTTATTCTTATTAAGTCAGGTGTTTCTTTAACTCCAGTCTGAACCTGCGACATGTGAAATCAAGTCGATCAGTGTCGTCTCTGACTCGTCCATCAGGTCGGACAGGAGAAAAGAAATGTCCTGAAGGGAAAGAGTTTGATTCAGAGATCCAACGAGCTCTGGAGAACACGGGTTCATTATTGAAGGTTAACCACCTGATGAACATCACATGTCAGTTATTGAACACTTTAACCGTTTGAAGATTTATTAGAGGAGGAACAGCAGCTCACAGCGACACTTAAACCCCTCCACCACCTTAAGCTGATGATTCTTGGAGGGAACACTCAAAATTGATTGTAATTCAACGATTGAAACTTTATTCCTTTTTAACGATTGAAACTTTATTCCTTTTTAGAAATTATTAAAATAAAAAACTGTTTAAAGAGAAGTTGAAGCTGAACTACGCAGGGTTTCTAAAACTAGAATGATTTTGAAAGCAGCATTCCCTCAGTGCTCCGTCTGCACCCCCTCCCCTCTGTGCTCCCTCTAAAGCCACGCCCCCTCACTTACAAACGCCGTCTCTCCAGAAATGGACCTCAGCTCATCTCTTGCTTTGTGTAGAAACTACGTCGTCTCATGTCTCATTCAGCGGTCAGTAAACTCACAGTTTAAACTCCTAAAGTCATCGGAGTGTGAGCTAGAGCACGCAAGAGGTAGAGAGCGAGCAGGGAGACGGGGAGGCGTCTGATTGGTTCATCAGATTGGTACCTCGTGGCAGACATTGGTTGAAGTTTTTACAGACTTACAAACTGATACAGATGATGGATTTTCTTTGTTCCTTTTTCAGAGAACATGAGTTATTAATTTCTGTCAGGACCTAAAGACAATTTACACCAAAATCTGAAAAAAGTGGATCTGGAGGAAATGACCAACTGGACTATTTTAAAGTCCAGTTATAGTCATACTGAGACAATAAATCCACTTTTGTAAACATCATGTAAACGTACTGACTGATTCATTTTATCAAAGAGACTCTAGCTGGAAAAAAGTTTATTTGCTGTCATCGAAACCAACAAGAAAAAAAAACACATATCAGTTACGTCTTATGAGTAAAAGAAGAAGTCCTGTTCATGTTGATTTCATTATCTCCTACACGGGTAGCTCCTGTAGGATTTAACACCATTTCCCATAATCCCACCTTTGTCACTAAAGCGTTAATCTATTCTCTTCAGCGTGCGTGGTGACGTGGCGGCGCAGGTGGCTGCTGGAGATGAAGTCTTGCCGCAGTGCGAGCACCTGAACTGCTTGCAGTCCGTGTGCACGCTCATGTGGACCTTCAGGGATCCCGACTGGGCGAAGCGTTTGCCGCAGTGGACGCAGTTGTAGCGTTTCTCTCCCGTGTGCACCCTCTGGTGGCGTTTCAGGTTGCTGGGGTCGGAGAAGCGTTTTCCGCAGAGCATGCAGACGTACGGCTTCTCGCCCGTGTGGACCCTCATGTGGGTCTTCAGGTTCTTCAGGCAGGCCAGAGTTTTCCCGCAGTAGTTGCACACAAACGTTTTCCCCGCGCTGTCCTCCCCGCTGTTACTGGACACCCTGCTCGCGGCGTCCAGATGTCTCCACCGGTCCCGTCTGAGGAAAGCACTTTGCCTCTCTCTCGTCTCTTTTCTCGCAGGAAGCTGCAGCGCCATCTGCTGGTTGTTCTGTAAGCCTGCAGGCTGTCTGCACTCTGCCACCGGCGGGCTCAGCTCCCCGACGGTGAAAGAAACGCTGCCCGAATCGGACGCAGCTGAAACTCTCCCTCTGGTGTTCGACGCGTACGAGCAGCTGGGATCCTCTGGCAAAGGATTCTGGGTACTCATTGAGCCGTGCTGAAGCTGTGGCTCGAACATCAGACAGTCGAAGCTGCCGGTTTCTAAACTCTGGCTGGTGTTTGTCGTATTCTGGACGCACACTGAAGTGGAGCTGACTTCCTCGCTCGCCCAAGCTCGAGTAGAACCGCCACCTTCCTCCGTTACTTCCTGTTTAGTCAGCAGGGGCGGAGCTTCTGCGTCTGTCGTCTGTTCGTCAACAACAGGAATAAGATCTGCTGGAGAGAGAGAAAGAGAAATATCTTACCTTTCTTACATTTTCAGTATTCAGATAAAGAGCAGGTGTAGTGCGTACCTCTTGTCACATTAGTCTCAGAGACTCATCATGAATCATAAAAAAAAAACGTCCTTTAAAGCCTCGCTCACACTGTGAGATTTTCCCCCGATCGTATCAAAGTCGTGGTGGCACGTCAGCTCACACTGTACGACCTGATTGTCGGACACGTCCAGAGAGCTCACACTGTACGAGTGAAATTAGGACGGAGCGTTGACAGTTGTTAATAAAGTTTCATTTGAAAACCCCAACGGACGACGGCCGGTGAAAGAGAAGGAAGTGGAAGTTGTTGTAGGATTTAGGAAAGTTGATACAATCGTAGATATATGGAGACAAGTTTCAGAAAAGTGCTGCGCTGATGATCTGTACTGGAAAGTAAAAAAATAAAAGAAATGCCGTGTTGCGTCCTGCCGCTGGTCGCCATGACTACAGTCCTCCCTTGTCTCTCATGATTATATTGTAGTCACACACATAACTTCTGCCGGACCCTTTCATGATGTAATCGTCAAGATTTTAAATTCTAAATATAAAACATGTTTGAAATAAATCGGGGCGTCCCCGACGATCGCCGGGCAGATCGGGGACGTTAAGATTGGATCTTTGGACCACTCACACTACGAGATAATCTGAACAGAGAATCGGGTCCGAGCAGCCTCGAGTCGGGAGAGACCCTGAGACTGTCAGGAAGGAAGAATCAGAGCTCAACAACAGGGCCCTGGTAGTGCTGGGCGATATATCATGAAGCTCGATTCCATCGATATTTAATTAATGCTTGATATGGAAAAGGGAACATCCATTTTATTTTTTAAACCACTTCAAAGTTTTCTCGCGATATTTCGTTGCTCCGAGAGATTTCCGCGGCAGCGCTTGTTGCTCGGAGACGAAAGGGCGGAGGAGACTTCACTCCTGCTGCTGAGGAGCCTCGCTCTTATAAGCGACCAACACGGAGGAGAAAGAGAAAGATGCGAGCGAGGCCGAATTACTTCCAAAAAAAGGTTCATAACGCAGAGCTCAACATCACAAGTGTCCCACTGACCCGGATGAATGATTGACAGTCCAGCTGATTGCAGGTTCAGCTGGAGGCTTCACTGCTGTCACTTCACTCGCTACACTCGAGTTGTTCACACTCAGATCTGAGAGCAGGTTTTCTCTGATAAAACACACGTTTGGTAAAACGGTTTTAAAACCATCAGATCCCGACAAAAGCCGAGTTTAAATCAGAATTCAAAGAGAAACAAATCACCAGAAGAGTGGAGAGTGACAGCAGGACGAAAACAGAGAAAAGTTTGATCCACAGTGACAGACAGCTGGAGGAGCTGGAACACGTTAAAGTTAAAGACTAGATCCTGCTAAAGATAAAAGTTATTCACAAACATGTTAGTCCTTAAGAGAGCTCCTAAAGTAAAGATGTAAGGATGAAGAGTTTCTCACAGAGAAGAAAGAAGGAGAGATTCCAGATCTATCACAGCCTCATATTAATATCACATTAAGTAGACTCTTACAGCATGGTGAATAAACATGAGCACATAAATATAAGAAAAATACACAATATGTTTATAATTAGAGCTCAATTAATTTAATAAAAGTTGTAATTAAATCTTGCATCAGAATGGTTCAAGAGTAAATTGGTGACTTTTATTTTTAGAATCTAAAGTAATGTTCCTGGATCAGTGATATTTTTTTTATACAGTGGAGATTCACTTTTATAGGCTACATTTATAAACTTTAATACGATAAATATCGAGTCATATCGACATTAGGCAAAAAAATATTGTGATATCAAATTTAGGCCATATCGCCCAGCACTAGGTCCTGGGTCTTGTAGTTTTTTGCTGATGGCTAGTTGTAGTTTAAACCAATAATAATAGAAAAAGCAGTTATAAATCTAGACGTGAAAATGAAAGATCATGTCTACATGTGGTTGTCGGTGTCCATCACTCAAACTGTACTCACTGTCCTGAGCAGAGCAGCCCCAGGTCTCATCGTCGTCCTCCACTTTGATGACCGCGGTCGTCGGTTTGGCCGTCTCACCTGCAGCCGGCTGTAACGGAGCGCACAGAGAGCGAACACGATAAGAGCGAGGATGGTAATAAGGTCAGGAACTAGGACGGGAGAGGAGAGCGTCTCGTACTCACCGTCCCCTGTGTGGCGCCCCGTCCGGAGGATGGATCGATGTCTTCACACCGCAGTGTCTGAGCAGGTGCTCTGCACAGCACCAGCTCACCTGGAGGACGTGATAACACCTTTAAAGATCACGCACCTTCAGACGCACTGAGGTCACTATTTCATGAACAACGGATTCGTTTATACTTTAACACAACACAAAATGCTGCAAGTCCTCCTATTTAAGAAGCTTTAACCAGATACGAGGGATACATCGGTTCAACATCTGTATCGGCCGATAGCGAGCGAGTGACAGCGACTAAATCAGCTTGATTCTATTTTTCATTGTATTGGAGTGTCCTAACTGCCTACAGCGACGCAGAACGCCGTTTTAACCCTGACGTCCCGTTTCTATTTTCCTCTGTCGCTCTCTAGCAGGGTCGAGGAAGGAGGAGGCTCTACGAGGCGCTGATACTCGTTAGCTTGTTTCACAAAGTGGGGAAAGTCGTGCATTAACAATATACACATACGTGATAGAAATGTTGAGCTGTGACTTGTTTTAACACCGGAGAAAAAACTTGATTATTGACAAGCCTCTGAGAAGAGCTCACCACACTTCAGTTTGTCCACCTTCAAAATAAAAGCACCACATGTCATACTGTTTGCAAAGGGGAGCTGAAATTATCCTAGCAGAGAAGTAAATATTTATGGGATGCAGAGCGGACAGCGATCGTGCACAATGCAACATGATATCTAACGCTTGCGTGTTGTTAGGAGACGGTGTTATTGTGAGAATATTTTATCCTTCATCAAATCAAAACTGATGAGTCATCAAAACATTCACCCCCCCCGTACAGTGTGTGTCCATCCAGACATGAGCTAATCACACCTATTTGTTTTTTGAACCAGGCTGTAAACATGTTCATCTCTGCTGTAAAAACAGGCTTTTTAGAATGGGTGTGTATGTGACTTCCTGTGCTTCTGCAGCCAGCCTCTAGTGGACACTCCAGGAACTGCAGGATTGTGCACCTTC